GTGACGCAAATGATATGGATTTTATTTCGTTATTGATATTATTCCATTTATCCGATTCCACCAGTTTTTAAAGTCACGACATTTCAGTTTAATAACCATGTGTCTCTGTTCAGGAATAAACAAATTAACCGCAAGAAACACCAAAATTGTCAATATGATGAAACCAAATCTGTTTTAACTCTTTACAAGAGTTAGGGCAAAAGGTACCAAAGGGATATTCAAACTCATAAGTCGGAAACAATCTGACAACGCCATGGCAAAAAAAAAAACGAAAAATGACCAAACGGCAAACAACAGTCTACAAAACACAACATTGATAACTAAAGACTGAGTAACACGAACCCCATCAAAAACCGATGTGATCTTATGTACCCCGGAAGGGTTAGCAGACACTTCTCCACATGTAGCTCACCTCGTGTTGCTCATTCAAATTTCTATTTTGTAATAATGCAACTCATTTAGATATAACATGTCTTGTTCTATACGTAAAATGCATTTTTTTTTACAATAAAATAAAACCCTTTCAAATCGTTCATGTAGATCATAGAAATCTATATATGGAGGCAAGTTATCACCTTATCTTACACCAATATCACATCTATAGAAACATATAGGAGAGGGAAAAATCATCAAAGAAACGAGACATATAGTTCAGTATGCCAAATGCGCGTTTCGTCTATAGAAAACAGAGCATTGTCCGTTATTTTAACGTAAGATACTAGTACTCTATATGCGCAAAACTAACAACAAAAAATCGGCTAATATGACCTTATATCATAACAGTATAGGAATTTGCAGGACGGATACTTTTGACGCTCAGTGGTCAGAAGTTTATCCTAGTCTACCTTGGAATCTAATGTCCGATAGTAGCACCCTTGCTGAAAAGGGGAGAGGGGTCCGTTCGATAGTGTTTTAGACGTTAAAAAAGGCAGCAATGTTTGTCCTTGAAATTCCGATTGTTATGCACTTATGCCGGTTTGGTCTATGAAATTATTTAGGTAAGGGGGTCGATCTCCTGACTTTTTTTTTTTGTATTCGTGTTTTTTCATTACTATAGGCTTAATTTTTAGGAGTATTTTGGTGTTTGTGATGGGTGTTGTCTGTTGTGACGGGTTCAAATTCTCTGTTATGCCTTTTATGTACTACTGTTATATGCATTGTGGTGGATTTTTCAGCTTTTGGAAGAGGCAAACCACTGCTAACGGACAGTAGAAGTTGTGAGACTGAGATGAGGCGAATATCTCGAACATTATAGATGGTAGACACATATGTTTTTTTGTCATGAGATGTTTTATGCCATTGATGGTTCAGTTCAACTGTCGTATTGTCCGTTCCCTTTAATATATGCTGATGTTATGACACGAAAAAGACGATTTTCTACATTTGCCCTTTTATTCTACGTTATAGTTTATGACTATGATGGAAAACATTATAGTCTATATGCTTTCTGTATAGTATACCGTATGCCGTCAATGAACATTCTTTTGGAGGAGGCAAACCACTACTACAGACAGTGGAAGTTGTGTGAGACTGAGAGGAGGCGAATATCTCGAACATTTGATGGTAGACAAATATGTTATATTTAACATGAGATGTTATTTGTCATTTTTATCCAAGGTATTGTATATAATATTTCGTGTTATAAAGTTCAGTTTAGCTCGCCATTCTTGATCCCGGCGCCGCGTGAATCGTCAAAAATTTAAAATGTGCACGCGAAATAATAGTTTAGAATTAATAAAATACCGAGTCTGTTATTATATGATATACGGTCGGTTGTGTTTTATACAAATTATAAGTAACTATTACGTTGTTCACATGTAAAACGATCTATTTGAAGAGACGAGCTGACAAAGTATTGCGTGGTTAGCAGACGTTAGAACATTTTAGAGGCCATGCTACTAGGATCAAAGTTTCTTCCTAACCTGTTGACGGATAAGATGATATTCTATGTTAAACTGTTTTCTTTATACATGTTTGTGATAGATATGTAGGTCCTACACATTTATATTAGTTAGTTAAAGTACATGATGTGTAATGTATACTGTAACACGCTGCTCATTTCAACACTATATGTGTTGGAAGGCCTTTCCGATTAGACCCATGCATGTCTGCATGATAATAGATCTCCGATTGCTTTTAAACGTACTCTATAATAGGAATTTAATTTTCAAATATTAATGTTGGTAATCATTCTCTATGCAGTATTCAGCAAAACTTGTCTCTTTATGGCCGCATATTTTACATATTCATGTTTTCATATGTAGTATTTAGTGAGACAGTGTTTCTATATTCATGTTTTATGTAGTATTTAGTGAGACAGTGTTTCTATATTCATGTTTTATGCAGAATTAAGTGTGACTTAGTCTCTTTATTCATACTTTATGCAGTATTTAGTGAGACGGTGTCTCGATATTCATGTTTTATGCAGTAGTAGTGTTAATGCGTCTCTTTATTCATATTTTATGCAGTATATGTAGTGAGACTGCATGTGTCTCTATATTCATATTTATGCAGTATTTAGTGGGTTGTTTCCTTTTATTCATGTTTTATGCAGTATATTTTGTGAGACTGTATCCATATTTATGCTCCGTATGTAGTATTTTTTGAGACTGCGTCTCTTTATTCATTCTCTATGCAGTATTTAGTGGGACTGTGTCTCTTTATTCATGTTTTATGCAGTATACATTTAGTGAGACTGTGTCTCTATTTGGTCTCATATTTTACACATAAGATCCTTTTTGTTACATCTTGTGATCCGTTTATTTGGCAATCGCCAATGGCAGTCAGCAGGGTTTAAGAACATCCGTTGTTCGACCTGTTAGTCAAATGCGTTTTGTTTAAATATACTTTTTCACTTTTTTGGTCTTTTGGAAAATGTTGGTTGTGTTGTATTTAGACCCTTCTACCAAGAAATTTGTTTTGCATGCACACGTATAAAAATTGCGGTTTTTATCCAACGCAATCATAGGTTTGACCGTTGTTTTCAATTTAGACTTACACATATATATATATTCTTTATTTCCGTTCTGTCAATTGTAGTCAAGTATGTTAGTCTTTCGAATGTAAAATTCAGACAAAGTTTTAAAACATGCGTTATTTATACATTACTATTATCACGTTTCAAATAGCGCAGACATAAAATTGCAATTAGTATTGTTTGGAAATAAAAAAGTACGTGTACTTATATATATATAGCTACATTAAACTGCAATGTCAATGAACTTCATATTCGAAATGTCTGTATAGTCATGAATATTTTTCCTTTTCAGTAACGGGCTTGGCTTATCGTTATTTGTAGAAGGCAATGACTGACAATTAAATGTGTCAATGTTTGCTATTACCGAAAATGGTAATGTTCTAGGATATCTATTTTAATGTTTTCAATATCTACGGATAACTGTGACTTTCCAAACAAGCGAAATATGGCTTAAACTACGGTGGTTTGTTCTGTTTTTCACTATTTGTGGAAAATTTTGATAAGTTATGATGTACATTTAGAAGGATATATGTAAGTTTTGTCAAAATGCGCGAGAGAGAAACTTTAAAAGTTATCTTTCATTTAAAGCCGAAATAGTGGCGAGCGATGTCTAAAGGGCTTAAAGATACTAGAGAAAGAATGCATGAAATTCAAAATATTAAGATATTAGAGAAAGAATGCTTGATATACAAAGTATTTAGATAATAGAGAAAGAATGTTTGAAATATATAATATTAATGATAATAGAGAAAGAATGCTTGATATACAAAGTATTAAGATAATAGAGAAAGAATGCTTAATATACAAAGTATTAAGATAATAGAGAAAGAATGCTTGAAATATAAAATATTAAGATATCAGAGAAAGAATGCTTGAAATATAAAATATTAAGATAACTTTATTCGCGATACTTGTCTTAACATTCTCGTTAACATTTGATTGATGACTGTTGAATACATGAAAATTTCGTTGATGCCTAAAGGTGCAAAAATAAATGGGAGAAATTTCGAGTTATCTGACCTTAGTCAAGTGCAATGGAATTAATCATGAAAAGTATTGTCACCTGCGGACACTTAAAAGTTGTTTTTTTAAATAGATGTTTATGTTTTGGCTTTAGCACATTCCAACTTTTGTTTCACTGGCATTGTACTTTTGCGATATTTGCGTTACTTATTAGATAAATGACATATTTTAAGCCTTTTAACACCTTAATTGAATCATAAGTATCTTTTAGGTAATCAATTTACCTTAGCCTTACTTTGACCCGGACAGCTAATTATATCATATCAAAGAGATTTACTTTATAAATATTCAATCGGATTATGATAAAGATTTCATCAAGTCTTTGTTCTTAAGTCGGCACCTAGTCAACAGTACTGTGGTATAGAATCTACACGCAATATTGTCTATGATCATTATTGAAATCTGAAATAAAAAAGATCGCTGATTATTTTTTAAATATCATTCATATTAAAGTACATTTAATAGCCGGATTCTATATAACTTGTTTTAACCGAATTTTGTATGTTCGTAGGGATTTTAGTCCTAAAAACGATGGAAAACAAATACCAGGGTGGTGGTGGGGGAGCCGGGAGAAGGGGTTGCAGAGGGAGTCCAAAATTTGTTCGCCTAGCTCGCCGGTTTAGTTATCCGTTGACGGCAATTACACCCCCTGAAATTCTTTTTACTAGTGTAAGGTAACCCCAAATTTAGAAGTATGTTTATGGTTTACACCACTGAAAAATACGTTTCCCATGACCGTGTTAAACGCTTCATTTATTCAGTTTATGGTATTTTAAAATACTGGTGAACTAGTCCATTTGAAATTAACCTTATTTTTATTTCATTACTAAAATCTGGTTTTAGTAGATTTAAAATGTGGTGATTTTTTATTTGCCTTTTTCTTTGATCTATAGATCTCTTAATATACAGCAATGGAACTGACAGACTGAATGAATCAGTCAATTTTTCTACGTCATAGTTTTTAACCAATGGAAACAGTCTATCTACTAAGTGATTCATATTAGTAAGGTAACACATATCATTTGACAAGAATAACGTGAACACAGGTAAACACGGTACATAAGAGAAGTAATGTGTATTCCATGTGTTAAATAGTGTTTGGATTAACAAAAATATACATCTGGAAAATTATTCAACAATATATATTGATATATAGTGGGAATATAATTGAAGCAGAAAAAAAACACTTGTTATGACATTACATAGAAAATTGAATTAATAGGAAAATTAAAAGTTGACGATGCCGCCTCAATCAATGATGGACCATAATACTAATCTATTACCGGGTGATGATCCCAACCCTCAAGCAAAGATGAAATGTGTTCTTCTAGGGGACGGAGCTGTAGGTAAAACCAGCTTAGTTGTTAGTTATACTACAAATGGATACCCCACGGAATACACACCGACAGCTTTCGACAACTTTTCGGGTAAGTTTTTTCTTCTTCTGTTATTTCTCTTCTTTTCTTTTTCTTTTTTGTACTTGAAGGACTTTTTGAACGTTAGAAGATAAAAAAAAAGCATACACACACCCCATACATTGACAGCAACACTTGACGTTTTCAAACATTATTTATTTGTACAGAAATAAAATACTACACTGTAAATTACATTTGAAACTTTAATGAGGCAAACATATGAAAACTGCAAAATCAAAAATAGACGAAAAACATCTGTTAAAAATGTCTAGCTGATTGAATCAATTTAATTATAATGTATTCTATTTTTTTTTTTATTTCAGTGGTTATAACAATTGACGAAGCACCTGTCCAACTACAACTATGTGACACTGCAGGCCAGGTGAGTTGTCTTAATTAATAATTAATAAGATTAATAAGTGCTGAAAATGCCAGATTTCTGTCATCTTTTAGAAATGTTAATATTGGACTTTCATGTCTTATTAAAATGTTAAAGCACACCTGGAAGCAATTTTCTGTTATTAAGGTATTGGTGACACTTTTGTTCATAACGGTTTAAAACAGAAAATGGTATTCATTCAATCATTGACAAAAATAATTTTAAAAACGTGGGATAATTGTGTTATTTGAAGATCAAATTAGAAATGTAGATTTGAACTAAACAATTATCTAGAAAATCGACCCTCTGATACTAAAATAATCTCTTGATATATTATGTCATGTTTACCTGAAGGTATTAATCATCAGCATTTATAACATCGATCAGCTGATTAGCTCACCAGGTACATGGGCAACATACATCATGAATTAGAAATTAGCCACAGAAATGTATTCCCCATTTTGGAATCAGAACTGAACGTCATTATCCTTCTTTTCTTCCCTGCTAAGTTTTTTTTTTTTTTTTTACTGGGGAGGGAGGGACACTTTTACAGAATTCCTCAAAACATCCTTATATCAGCCTGTGTACAAACAGCTACGACATTTCTTAAGTCATCTTTACACTGTAAAAGTCGCAAACAGAATTGAATGCAAGGATTACAGTAACGTTCAATCAACGATTGTCTATGAAAAATGGCAACGAGTAACAAAAAAATTTAAGGTCGATCAGTTGGGTGAAATCAATTATCTTGGTAAAGTAATATTTAACCTACATGTATGTGATGTTGATAAAACTGTTGATTGAAAACTCAGCAGTGTATGCTTTATCAGATCTTTCTGTATCTATTCCTATCTATATTTTGGTTAACTCATATTTTTGTCAGAATATAACATTTGCTTCTGGTGATGAATCATCAATGTAAAACAAGGCTCCCACAGGGAGAAGACAAAACAGAATAATATTACTTTATTTTTGGATATACTGAAATCAGAAAATCGGTTGGGAAATGTTTTGATACTACATCAATGATTTTGGCACGGGACCATTTCGGTTTGTTGGTGTTATGATTTTTTTACCTATATACTGGTTCTTCATCTACAAGAAACACTTTGTGATCACTATCATTCTATTTTTTAGGAAGTTCGCGTGCTTATCAAGTTCTCTTTAGATTTTATATATCCAAATATAAAACGGGAGTAATAAATGACCTGTTGTCTGTGCCACATTTTTTTTATTATTTAAAGCATATGAAATATTTAGAAAAGCTGGCAGTTTCTCAAACCTTTTTACTTGATTAAATAATAAGAAATTCTTCTTATTGACCCATTTCTCGAGATTTGAAAAGAGAAAGGTTTTCTTTAATTTAGATTCTTTCAGTCGAATTAGAGCAGAAAGGGAATGATTTACGGGAGCTAGTAATTTCGCGGATTGTATTTCGAGTCTTAATAATTCTCTATTGTAATAATGTGACATTCTTTCTGTAATTTATGAAAAGCGGTCAGTTCATTTTAATACGTAAAGCAATTATGTAGGAATACAAATGAGAGAAATAGAAACAGTTTAGAGTTTTCGTCTGAATATTTAACCTGAAGACATCAGCTGTTTACCATTAATATGTATGTAGTAATGATAGGGACTGACTAGGATTGTTTTGTATTACCTAGTACCAGGTGTAAAACAGTTGTAAAATAGGTGGTCAGTGCTTTATCTTTTGATATATCTCATTGAAAACCTGTAGGGAGATTCTCTACATGTGACATCGACACCAGACTATCGAATTGGTCAGTACAAAAACAGTCCTGCGGGGGACACTTGATGTGAACAATACATTTTAAACTGGTCCATTCAAGGTGACAATATTGTTGACAATAAGTTTTATATAGCTACTGTGAAGTGTGAATACTAACGACTATACCCATAAAAGTACTATAGTAAGCTTCAACTGTTGCTTTATCTATCAATTAGAACAACCTAGTCTTGCCTAGAACCGCAGAATCCTTGTTAGTAAATAAAAAGATTTTGATTTGAATATTAATGGTGAACTATGGCCTTTAAAAAAAATAAAGTATCTTTTAAATAACCTTGATTCGTGTCAAAGCACAAAATACAAAACATGGGATTAGGAATGAAAAACGTATATGCAAATCGCACAGTTGAGAAGTTGTCAGTTGCAGCACACGCATTACTACGCTGCGGTATGCAAATACATGAACAAATGGAGGTATGCAGAGGTTATTTGTTTGTCTGAAGGGCACAATTTATTGTTTACACTGATCACATGTCAGCATGTCACGCGTGTCATTTGAGAAGTGTCTTCCAATATTTTTTTCATTAAAACTACTAGGATCTTTCCACTAACATATTCTACACGAGGTGACCACTAATTGTCTTTTTTGGTGTTATTTTGTGCTGTTGGCTTGCTGTCTCATTGACTTATACTCCGTCTCTCATTTTTTTCACATCTACGAGTTCGACAATTAATTATCATATCTGGAAACAATAGTTACCAGAAAGAAAAACATTCCCATCCTTTTTTCAATATACATGCATTACACAGAACATTAGATAATGAAAAAACTTTAAAATTCTATTTAGCCCCGTCCTACGCAAAATACTATTTGATACTCTAAATGTAAAAAGTGGTCGGGAATAGTATATTTAAACTATACCTTACCCCGACCCACACAATAGAAAACTTGAAACCATTAATAGATAAACAGAATTTTGCTTTAAATGCGTTCCATATTCCAGGATTATGAAATTTCTCGTTTTACATCATTGACAAAAACCCAAAACTGTTAAACTTTAATCGTGTTTTTTTTAAACAAATTTTAAAACTAACTGGATATTATCCAAAGTAATATAAAATACCAACAAAAATTCCCATTGAAGTGAATCATTAAGACGGGGAAAACATTTGAAGTTTTGATTTTACATACGTTAGTAGGTACCTTTCATGAATGATCATGTAAAATTTAAATATTCTTTATGAATAGAGATAAAAATTAAATTTCAAACAGTGACGAACTTGAGAAATTTTAAATGTGAAAAGAGGCGTTTGTAGTCATTCATAAACGGCGGACAATTTACACTCAATGCGTTTTGTTATTTTAAAAAATCACAAACCTTTTGGTAACACCATGTCGAGAATATTTCTAAACTGTTTCGCCGTACTTATTTATGCATAAATTTGCATGATAATTTTAACCTCATAAAGTTCAGATTATTTATTTACACCTTTCTGTAATTAATTACGTCTATAAACATCTGTGATGACTTCATGTATATGATATATCAATAAATATGTCACATAAATTATTGTAGCAGCTAAAGTTACATTAAAACTTCTGTCATTTTTATCTTAAGTTTGAACTTGATTTTCACGTGAAAATAATTAATTTTCTGTTATTAATGAATATTAAGTAATATCCCATTTATGGAAGTAAAAACTTAAGAATAACCGTATTAAGGAGTAGACATTTTATAACAAACGATTAAAGTATTTATAAGGATGATTCAACCACGCGAGATTTATACATAACATCATACATGGCTTTTAAAATATTTCACTAGTAAAAAAAATAACTACCTAATATATTTTACAAGTGAAAAATGAGAACTGAAAAGTGACAAGAATTTTTTTGCTGTCGTCAAATAACTATATAGGATCCGGTTGACTTATGTAAACTGTCAGGTAAATACAACGTTTATCCTTGGTTGTGTAGGTATTGCAAAAATTTCCCGAGACAAAACAATGACTGATGCATTGCTTGTTTTGTCAGATGTCTGGTTAACTTCCTAAAAAAACGTAACATAAGTACAGTAATGATTAAGTTTTTGTGTTTTTGCTTCCCTACTGTATTAAATAATATGCTGATGTGAATTTTGTTTTATTTTTTCCAGGACGATTTCGACTCCTTACGACCACTTTGTTATCCAAATACCAACGTCTTTTTACTGTGTTTTAGTGTTGTGACTCCAACGTCATTTCACAATGTGACAGAAAAATGGGTTCCTGAAATCAGAAAACATTGCCCAAAAGCACCCATCGTTTTAGTGGGTACACAAAGTGACTTGCGAAATGACGTCAAAGTGTTGATAGAACTTGCTCATTACAAAGAAGAACCAATCCCGGAAAGTGAGGCCAAACTTTTAGCTGAAAGAATTGGAGCCGCAGACTATGTAGAATGTTCGGCTTTAACGCAAAAAAATCTGAAAGAAGTATTTGACACTGCCATCATTGCGGCGCTCTCTGGACCTATCAAAAGAAACAAAAGTGTACGAAGATCAAAAAAGGAGAAAAAACTCTCACCGCCAGTCACGACAGAAAAGTGTATAAAAAAGAACTCCTGGAAACGACTTTGTTGCTTTTTATAACGCATGCTTAGTGCAATGGAACGTTTTCCTTTGCTTAACTCCAGTTGCAATATTGTTTAGACTCTCTATGCAAAATATGAACGTATGATTCATGGGACCAATTATAAATCAAAAACTGGTAGCCATTATGGTAGCTTTTGATGATTACGACTTTTGACAGGTTTTTATTAGTGAGATTCTTCAAAGAAGTCTCTAGATGCCAAGAATGATTTTAATTTATAAAAGAATGAATGAGATTCATCTGTTTCAAACGGTTGTTGTAGAGAAAAGGGCAATGCAATACATAGCTAATTTATTTGTTCTGTGAGCTTTGCTATATATTGTTTTTATCAGGTTAACTGATATAATAATTTCAAAGCTTTTATTTTCTATAACAGCTGGTCGATGTGAAGAAATAGATAGGTTTGAATGATGATACACGCATGTGCAATTTTTCATTTGTAAATTTTGAGATAATTTTTTTTAAGACGGGACTATTATTAGCCCTGATCTTTTGCATAATTTAAATGCTGTAAGTTTTAAGCATGTTGATTTTTATCTGCTTATATTTTCTATCAGTCTTAAAATCAATATGGGTCATAGTTTAATGAGCTTCCAACATGGAATGTTTTATTTAAGCTGATCCTAATAGTTTTAATCTAGTTATCTGAATGTCGTGTTGACAAACGCTCAAATTTTGCCAGAGAACTTGTTATATTCGTGGGAAAACGAGTTCTGTAAAAAGATGTATCTTACAATCAGCCAAAAATTTCTTAAGACTTCAAAATGTCTGATTTTTCTTTGTGTCTCCTCCCTTTCCTATTTGAAAAGATTTAAACCATCCCTTTATACACTATTTACTTTATGCATATTGCAATGTATTCATAACTTTTGAAATTGTCGAATCAATGAAGATTTAATCTATTTACTATTGATTGAAATCTCTACCTTTTTCTCAAAGTGGTTCAAGGAATATAGTGCTCAAAATTAGATTTTTTAAACATCGAGGTTCATAAATTTTATTTTTGAAAGAACAAATAGACCCTTGACCTAGTTGTGACTATTGAAAAAATGAAAATCTTCGATTCTTTACATTTTGTTTGACATAAATCTTAATCTTTTAACTAGTCAATGAAATCATTTTTTCAGACATTCAGTTTTTTTCTGTATTTATTATGCTATGTCTTTGGCATGGTTTATATATGTTTGGTGCTTGGCTGTACCGATTACAAAATGTTGTTTTGAAATTTAAAACGAGGTACAATATTTTAATGGTGATGGGTACGATTTTTGTAGCTTTCCAATCTGATTTAAAGGACAGATTTCATTTCTGATAATGTGAATTGAAAGAATGTTTATATTAAAACTTTTGATAATTTCACTATTTATATTGGATTTGAAAACATTATATAATTTTAATCTGAATTTCCCATGGATATATTGAAGTTTGTCCTTTAATTTAGCGCCGACTACAAAAAGATTAAACACTTCCAAGTTTTTGTGTTACAGCTAATAAAACCACAACATTGTATTAACGTGCTTGCACTGTATGCATGATGGAGGTCTCTTTTACAAGTTCAACATGTCTTGATTTCGGATTTAATCCAAAATCTTGACTTCATGGTGGTGTGATTAACCAGTGCAAATATTAACTGCACAATACGTTTAACAAACAACACAATGTTTTTTTGCAATACTAACACCATATAACAATCCATGTTAATTGGAACAGGTTTTATGTGAAATAGACAAACCCATCAGTTTGGGTAAACATACATGTTACTTGCATGTTGCCACATGCACTTAAGGACTGGATTATCTCCCTTTTATTTTTTATCGTCACATCTCGGCCGATTCGGTTCCCCCATTTAAAGGAGAACAGCTGGTACGACCGAGATTTGTCGATTTTAACGTGTTTAGCAATTGAGATTGAAGTCCAGTATTTGTGTGCATGTACGTGTAGTTTGTGAATCTTGTACGTGAGGTCTTGTGTGTTAATAAAAGTCCTATTTTCGATTTTTCACATGGACAACTTTATTTCAAATTTCAAGACCCCGCTTTTTGTCTACATCGAAATTAACAGAAACTATTTAGCATAATACTATTTGTCTTTCTGATTTTTTTAATTTTAGTGTAGAATTGCGTATAAAAAAAAGCTCGGCCCACCGAACTTACATTATGCCTTTGATATAAGATTATTATGTTGTCAAGAAGTAAATAAGTAATTAATTACATGTAATAGGTAATTGACTGATTTTTCATGTATTTTACATCTTATCTTAATTGATTTTACGGAGGTTAGAAATTTCCCACCGTGATGTTAGGTCAGGACACTTTTACTGTTGTTTACATTAAGATATTTGTAAACAAATTGTTTGAATGTTTTTAAAGATGCCGGATTTTTATTGTTATGGGTTATCAAATGAAGATGGTTAACCTATTTATTGTTATCTGTAAAAATATGTCCCTGAAGTTGATATATTATTTGCTGTTTAATAAAACAAAGAATTTATGACAGATAAATGCATTGTTATGTGATGGCCAATTGCCAGTCCTTTACTGTAGGTCAAATGATGGTAAGAATGTGCTTAGAATTCAGCTTGTTGATATACAGTAATCAGAAACATACATTCAGATTAATGAATTAACGTCACAAAAATGTAGACAATCATGATATTAAGCCGATACTCATTTATAAAATGGTTCGTCATACTCAGCTAAACAAATACAACACTGCTAATATGTGAATTAGATTTGAGAATGAAACTGTTCACTTTGGTTTTTTTTCTATCAAACTGTTACGGTTTTTTTTCTATCAAAATGTCACTTTGGGTTTTTTCTTTAGAATTGCTTGTCCATTTTCACAGTAGGTTGTGTTTCGATAAGATCTTTGACCGTCTCTATTGGATTTATTCGCATCTTGTCTATGCTAGGGTCGATTTAGAGCTTGCCATCAGGTTGTAGTGCTTAGTCTGTCAACTTCAAGGATTGGTCATTCTAGATACTTGTTTAAGGTGGACTTGTTGGGTTACTGGCTCATGGAGGCTTAATGCACATTTCCTCTCCACTCGTCGCATTTGACACCCATGCAGATGATGAAATGTCATTGAGAGAACCGTACAGATTGGCGTTTCCTACGAAGTTAGTCTTCCAATTATTTACTCGGGATTAATCGAGATGAATTAAGAAAAGATGCGTATCTTCTCATGCTAGAAATAATTCATCCCTTCAAACATTTTACGGACGTCATCATGATTTGGATGAGCGTTAAGGAATATCTGTGTCACATGATGTTGTTATTGTACTTATGATTGCTCTTTTGGTATCTTCTCTATTGTTCTATAGCGTCTTCTTTTAGCTGTGAGAACCCTACAAGTTGAAATACCTATTTTGATTGAATGATTTATTGTTGTTTGTTAAAACGTGCCGTAGTACATATCAGTTCATGCATATTCATTATGAAAACAAAATTCACGAAATATTTGTAGGTTTTGAAATAGGAACGACTTATATAAGGGACGGGAAATTTGTACTGCTACTGGAAAAGGGGATTAGATTATAAACGTTCCAACTCGGACGTGGCTGTGTATCTATACACCTTCCGACAGCCAAAATGGACTCCTTCATGGCGAGTCTTACTGTCGGACAGGAGAAGTCCTGGTTACCACTTTTCAATACTTTAGTCAACCCTTGAGGTCCCTATTTTGATTGTTGGTTTATAAATGTTTGCTTTACGATTGGTCGGAAATATGTCATGCATATTTAAGACAAATCCTATGTTGAAGTCGCTAAGGTCGTGTTTGATTACAAGAGAACCAGATACGGTTTCATATTCCGGTTTTTCAAAAACTTACAAATGAAATCAAACGCTAAAACTAAGTTATTTAAACGGTGAAACCAGAATAATATTGAGAATTGGGTGGAAAAACATATTAAACGTAGAAGGTCAAAGGATCATTTTCTCAATGAATTGAAGAATCTTTTAGGCTTCATTTTATGTAATTTATAACTTGACCCAATAGTTTCTTTGGTTTATGCACTGTGGATTGTTTTACCTATGTTTTGATATCCTAGTTTTCCATTTGGAAAGCCCGACAAAAGTCTCCCATGTTCGTAGTTGTACACTATTTTGTCCATTGATTGCCATGGATAAATAACCTTTTCAATTTTAGGCTGCTTCTAATATACGTGCAACTACGAGATGATACAATGCATGTATCTGAGTGACATAGAAAACCAGAAAAAGTGCAAATGTACTATATGTATACAAAAAAAAATCGTTTGAATAACAAACTTATGATACCGAAAAAGAAAGGACTAGGTTCAGATATTTTGAATGATCGCGTATCTCAGTAATGAGATACAAGGAAATACATATTAAATATCAAAGAATTGAAATTTTTGATAGTTCGACATGTACAAAACTTATAAGCTTTATAATTTTTTAAAGAATATAAATTCTTGTGCATAGGATAAGTTTTCATTTATTTGTTTCCTTGTTACGGGTAACATGACGGTACCACTAGTGGGACAGGAACTGCTGTGCTTACCTTTCCGGAGCACCTGAGTTCATTCTTGTTTTTCGGTGGTGTTCGTGTTGCTCAATCCTTAGTTTTCTGTGTAATTTTTTGAAAATTTGGGCTTGTTCTGTGTTGTTCGACGTTTTTCTTTTTGTCATGGGGCTGTCTGTTTATTCGACCTAGGTTTTTACCCCCCTCTTTTTTTATTTCTTTTCCCCTATTTGATGCACACACACATTACACTGGAAATTGAACCCAACTAAAACGGGATGTTACCCTACACGATGCCCTGTATTGTGGACCACACAAATAATTGGAAACATATATAAGCTAAAAAAAACTAAGAAATATGTTTATAAAGTATATCTTTCTGACATTTCGTGTTTGTTATTAAAGACGTGTTTGTTATTAAAGACGTGTATGAATAGTTTTTCTGATGTTCTGTTTTTTTTATGTTCCCCAATCTTTTGTGAGAAATCAGATTGATTAGTTTAGATAGCTCTATGAATATTAAGTCTTATTATTTGGTTTAATGGAGCGGACAAATTACAGATTTCTAAGCTATAAATGACATCTAAGTTGATCTACACCTTTGTTTTTATGATGTGTATTGTTGACAATAATACATGTTTGCTCATAAAAACTGTCCTAGGTAAAATATCAAAGTTTTCACCTGTCGTAGCTTGACGGTTTCATTTTCCTCGATGAATGTAGTTCCCATACATGACAGAAAAAAAAATCAGCAAATGATTAATGATTATTGATAGTCTTAAAATTGTCATAACAGATAAATTTAAATAAGAAATCGTGAACATCACGGACATTTTTTTTCTCGCCTTTAAGCGATTGTGGGACTGGCAGGCTGACTAACGGATTATTTCAATTGTTGAATTTTTCACACAAAGTGCACAAAAATACCCTAACGAATTATGTGAGCAGCAAATGTGGCTTTGGGCCTGTATACTTAAAAACCAATGTATGATTCGAATCGAAGTCGATTTCGTTGCTAAGCTTTGTAAACTTTAAAAGCATGCGTAATCAAGGTAGTTTAAGCCGATGTGAATAGAATTCAGTTTAATGATTAAGACATTTGTCATAAGAGTTCAATATTTCATAGACAGGCTGTAAATATATTTAGAGCTAATGTCATTTTGACTTGCAGAATTGTTGAAACGATATATATAGACCGTTATGAAGCTTTGATTATTCAATAGTGTGTTCATAAAATTAGACATTGGTTTTGTTTTGACTGCGAAGCTCGTCTTGTTGGTATAGATAAAGCAGATCTTTATTTGTTTATGAAGCAGTTTGATTGGTTTGTTTGTTAGAATAGTTTGGTTGTTGATCGAGTTGTCTGGTTTGTCGATAGAGCAGTTTGGTTTTTTGATAGAACATTATAATTTGATGAAATCGTTGTTCGGTCGCTGATTAAGCAGTTTGGCTATAGTGTAGTGAACTTTGGTTGCTGATAAAGTAAACCCGTTTCATAAAAGAGAAGTTATCCATTTCATTTGAACTTTGGTGGATAGTTGTCTCATTGGCAATCATACCACATCTCCTTATTTGTATATAGTGTAGTTAATACGGTAGTTTGGTTTGGTAATACATGTAGAACAGTGTAATTTGTTGATCAAAGAGATAATAATAATAATGATGGATAGCTGCTTAACGTCCAGCGACAAATTGATATGCATATTCAGGACGAGAACATGTTAATGTAATATGAAATTTAGCCCTGCTTTGTACTAGACCGACACACTGAGCCGGATTTTTAACGTGCTAGTTCACAAGGTAGCAGTCCGCAGGAAGATATGTCACCTTACCCGGGCACATTTTTCTGACTCCGAGCTGACCAGTCTTTACTCTTACTCCTTAATGCCGCGTGCTTAGCGGAGAAGCAGCAAATACCAATTTTAAAGTCTTTGGTTTGATCCGGCCGGGGTTTGAACCCACGACCTCCCGCACTCGAGGCGAACACGCTACCATGAGACCACCGAGGCGGTATTGATCGAAGAGAAGTTTGGTGGTTATTATATCAATTTGATTTTATAATACTGAGTTACTTTGGTTGTTGGTAGAGTCAATTTGATCATAGATAAGTATAATTTTGTTATTGATTGAGCAATAGTGTACTTTGGTTGTTCATAGAGCGATTTGACTATGTAATCGTGTACTTTGGTTGTTGATAGAGACGGTGTGCACAAAGTTGACGGCAACTAGAAAATGCGCTTTTGAAAGTAGTTTTATACAATCGTGATTAAAATATCTTTTAAAAAAGAAGTTTTTCTTATGATAAAATTATGAATGCTACCAATTAAAATCCACATTACTAGTAAGGTAATCAAAATTAAATCTATAAAGTATGAAACGAACACTGAGAGAACGGCAAAAAAATGTGAAACTAGTAACATTAAATAAGCATAAAATCGAGTTTTTTACCTAAAATTTATACAAATTCAACAGAATTTCCCGCATTTTCGTATAATAGAATTTTTCGGATTCGGACTATGACGTCATACGAAATTCACCGCAAAAAAAAAACAGAAACGGCCATGGTGGATGAGTTTGGAATGTCATTCGTTATGTGTAAGAAGTAGTTATTTGGAAGGATTAATATTCGAAAATGAAGAATCTGTAAAAAAAGATATGTAATTGCTATTTTTTTTTATTTCAAAATAACTTGATATTTCAAATGTGCATAACAAGAGGTTTACAAAAATCTGCAAAATATGAATGATTCGATAGTCCAGGCTGAACACCTGATTTTTTTTTAATGTCCAGCTATTATGTTACAATTTAAAGAAATGGCGTTTTAACGCTATTTTTTTTTGAGTGTCCACGACATAGTCGCTTATGATTTCCATTACACTGCTCTTAGCATATATTTATTTATATTTCCAGAATGTGCAATTGCTGCACTTTGTTGTTCGAAAAAAAGTGATATGTTGAACGTTTATATGTTTAAAGCTATGTGATAAACTAAGTGTCCAGTGTTTTTGTTAC